TGAGATTTCTTGAGAAAGAAGCGATGAAGCAAAAGAGCGGGAAGGTATGCAAGGCGATGCGAACATTCAAGACGAGAGACGTGAGGCGAAAGGATAAAGAGAGTGCTGCGAGATGGGTTGCAGAATAGGTTACCAATTATTGGGTCAAAGGGGTCGACATTTTCATCTCTCGCCACAATGCCAGGTGCCAGTTGTACCCTTTCATTTTCTCGGGCGTGCGTGCGTGTGTGCGCGTGTGTATATGCGTGTGAGTGTACAGACATTTCTTTCAAAGCAAAGTTAAAGGTCAATCTAGTGAAATTGGATTTTTATGTTAGCTATTTTTGACATGACCAAAGTGTTTGCAGTTAACGAAAACTCAAACTACAATCAATAAAAACATTTTTACAAACAAAATCGAATAAAAACAGAAATGCTTTTAAAAGAAAATAATAACTAAAACTACATCTTATGTTCATAAAACTAACCGAAAACTCGCTACATTTATCGTGAAAATGTCCTTCATTTTGTTTTTTACATTTTTTTTAAATCATAAATGGTTAATTTTAAACGTATTGATTTCTGTATTGTTGTACATCCGTGGATACAGAAGAACCAACCTCCGTTGTTTGAGAATGACAGTTTACTTCATTTTAAAATACTTTGTGACCTTTTTATTTTAATCTTGCACTCGGCAATTACCACATATATTAAATAAATAAATAAAAACTAAAACTAATACTAAAACTAATAAAAAAAACTAAACTATAAATAATACAATTACATCATAAAAATAATCATAAAACCAAACAAACTTACTCTAAAAACTAATTCCAACTAACAGAATTGTTAAAAATAAGCAGTACTACCTTTCAGGACATACTTAATATTAAATCCCAAAATATTAAATGTAATATTTAAGGACTGTCGGACACAAGCCAATAATGACATCAGCGACTTGTTTCGGTTCACATTCTTCCCCCCACCCCCGTACCTGTGAAGACCGAGGCGCTGACCATTTTGCTCTCCTGGCTCCCCCTGACAGCGTTCAGACTGATCTCATACTCGGTAGCAGGGAACAGACTGGACAACGTGTAGTTGGTCACATCGCTGTCAATCACAACGCTGTCCACTCGACCTGCGGGGGAAACGAATGGAAACTCCGCTTTGTCTTCATTTCCAGCTTGTCGTGCACAATTTGAAACACATCTACTATTCAATCATGGTGGAGGAAGGAGTAAAATATTTACAGCTCAAATTGAAAGTTAGAATTAAGATTCATTGGCAAAAGGCAATCATATTAAAATCTGAGAAATTAAATACCTCTGGCTGACTGGTAGGAAAGCTTATAATATTCAAATGGAGCCAGTGGTTTGATCCACGAAATGGTCACGATGTCTTCAGCCACGGCCGACACGGTCATCAACTTGGGTGGGTCCATACCTAGAGCATAATTCAGTTTAGTTAGAACCACAACCATGGATAGACGACCTGTGACACCAAACGCTTCACGCTATCGTCGAACACGTGATATTCTTCGGTCACATTTGTTGGTGGACTTTGCAGTTGTTGTTGAGTTTCCAGGATGGGAATTTACTGCGATTCTGTGCTTGTAGGGGTTTATACTGTTTCCAGGAACGTCCAAATTTAGCAGCGCTCAGGTTTATTGGGAGAGATGCGGCGTTATTAAAAGCAAGAAGACTACAGAAAACGTCCGGACCAATGAATCGATTCATTTCGGTCCGTAACGTGTCAGAAAATCGTCAAAATGGCCGATCATTGTTTTCCAACGTGAAAGCAGGTGATTTTGATTTGATTCAACACAAGATCATGAACGTGCTTTTGCATACGACAACAGAAATCAAAGAATACGGTAAGCAAAGTAAAAAGTAAACAAGGGCTCCCAACAATTTATCAATGATCAAAAATAACAGCTTCATCTGATTAGCCATGAGAGTGGCTGCCTTGACAGCAGCTCCTATATTTTGTTCTACTTCTTCCTTTCATAACTTTGCTGCTGTGAATTGGGAATTTCCCCATTGTGAGACCAATAAAGGTTTTCTGATCTTATCTTATCTTATCATCCATGAGTTGTCAATTAATCTATGAGTCACCCGACCTCCAACTTTTGTTTTTAGTTTTTATGCCGTTAGTATGCGTTGCTGCTTCGTTTGTTTCAAAAGAGAACTTGCGTGAACACATTTGACATCTATCTATGCTCATTTCTGTCAGAGAACGATGACCGCTCAAACTACATTGAGCATGAACAAAAGTGTCAACCGGCTGAGCAGATATTCAAAGGACCAATCCACAGCCCTGCCAAAAGAAACACAATGAAAATGACAAGAGAGGGAGCACCGCTAAACCCGTTACGATATTTCTCCCCCCGCCCCGCTGACAATTTGTTTACCCGTGTCTCCAGGGATAGCTATCGAGCGACTGCGGAAAACGTTACGGCCGACACAATGCGAGCAAACAAGTCACCCGATGGCAGTTACTTAACTATTAACGGCGTCGACGAAAAGACACTATGAGGGGGGGGGGGGGATGAGGAGGAGATTTAAGCACTTCTATCTCCTGCTTCGGGAAAGCAGCAGCACTTCAAATTAAAAGAATAATGATGAGTATTCATGAGAAGAGGGGTTAATTTATCATTCCTGGCTTTGAAAGGAATTCATTTCCACTTGGCTGGAAAAACGGCGGCTCCTTTGTGAAAGTTGCGCCTCTTCGGGTACGGCTATCTTACTAATTGCGTTTGCTTTGGTAAAGGTGAACCTTTGCACGCGTTGTTCAGTATTTAATGAAGCTTCCCTTCGAGACGGCAAAGGTGTCGAATTCCAAAAAAAAAAAAAAAAAAAGTTCTGACTAAAATGTCTGCAGTGATTCACATTTCAATATGCTCGGCGTAAGACCGTTTATGATAACGTATGAAATGCCTCGGCGGATGCTTCTGCATTTGTAGGAAGAGTCTTCCCCCGAAGATCACCACCACTAACGGGAGTTAAAAATCACAGGATGTAACAGTGACGAAGGTAAATACGTGGAACTATTTGGTGGAGTATGTCAGGAAAGAAATGCTTTGCGGAATAATTCAAACAGCATAGATGGGTAGGAAATAATGACATTAACCCTTCCAGGGACAGCGGTGACTACAGTGGACCGCTCATCATATTATCAGGTTACAGGGTGCATGAAAGGATTAATAATTAACTGAACTTTTGGGAACAGAGACTCGGCACGCTTCGCTTTTTAGACTAGGGTACCTGTAACAAACAGCGTCGATGGGTAGGAAATAATGACATAAACCCTTCCAGGGACAGCGGTGACTACAGTGGACTGCTCATCATATTGTCAGGTTACAGGGTGCATGAAAGGATTAATAATTAACTGAACTTTTGGGAACAGAGACTCGGCACGCTTCGCTTTTTAGACTAGGGTACCTGTACATACAAAATCATTGATATTGTTAAGTACTTTTGTAAAACACAAAACATGGATACACCGTATTGATTCTGCTGGATGTCGTTTCTTACCTGAATACGTCATTTCAAAAAAATAAATCTGCAATCTTTTTTAGATTTTGCTCTGACGCTTTTTCAACACTACTTGCAAGTCAAAAACGTCGTCATTCACGTTCCTATGCTGATGCTACGCTTGTGAGTAAGGCTCGCTAAGAGCCAGCGGGAATGTCAAGCATTCCCTGTGCCCCGACCGAGACTTTTCCGTCGTTTTCAAATTTTGCTCTGACGCTTTTTAAACACTACTTGCAAGTCAAAAACGTCGTCATTCACGTTTTTGTTCCTATGCTGTCGCTACGCTTGTGAGTGAGGCTCGCTAAGGGCCAGCAGGAGTGTCAAGCATTCCCTGTGCCCCGACCGAGACTTTTCCGTCCAATCGGGCTGCTCACCTGTCGTGAGGGACGCCGTAATAGGCTCAGAGGTGACATCCCCCTGTATTGTGATTAGGCTGACGGTATACTGAGTGGAGGGAAGCAGCCCTTGCACCAGCGACCTCGTCTTGGAGCCTTCCAAGGTCACCTTAGAGGTGTCGGTGCCGTCAGCTGAGCTGTAGCTGAGAATGAAGAAATCAGCAGGCGGTGCCGGCGAGCTCCACGCCACTAGCACTGAGTCGGAAGTCACCTCGGACAAGTAGAGGTGGGAAACGGGCCTGATCCCTGGAGGAATATGGACGAAATGTCACGGGAGAGTCTCCGAGTGCGGAGGGAAGCAGGGACAAGCGTAGAAAGAAATAAGGTGTTGTCAAAGGATGGAAACGGAGAAGCTGTGGTGGTGGTGATGGATGGAAGTGGCTGGCACAATTTGCCTTGGGCGCAATCTCAATCAGGCGGACCACAGAGTCATGTGCACTTGATGATTTAATCGCTCATGAAGACGAGAGGCTAATTGGATTATGTGCCATAAAGATGAAGTTGTGATAGGATTGATCACGAAAAGAAAATGGCAAAAGCGATGATGGTAGCAGATGTTGCTGTCAAAATGGATGACTTGGACAGCTAATGATGAAGTGAATGAACACGAGGCCGCTTCCAGTCAGCGCGTCTTATATTTACCGTCCAGTTAATTTGAAGGTTATATCGTCACGCAGCTCTCAACTTGTTGCGCTTGATCAATCTTAAAAATAACATCAAGCTTTTGAAAATGCGGTTCAAGAGAAAATCCCGTGTTTTGCTTTAATATGAGCTCACTTGGGCACCCATAATTCGACGTTACTAGTGAAGTGGATGAAAAGATGACATCCAATTAACTTTTTCCATCCGGCCGATCTTCCATCTTATCATCCTGTCTTCTCTCCCAATGCCCGACGGTTAGAGCGCTGTTAGTCGCGGACGACACCAAATGATGAAGTCGCACATCACGATGACGACTGCGGACGATGGTGGTGGCCATGACGATGACAACAGTCATTTCTATGATGAAGAATGACGAGATCAAGATGAGGATGATGAGAAGAAAAAGGCAAGTGCTTCAGTGCATCATTTTGATGCTGAAAAGTCAAATCAAAGGTGCTTTTGGACCTAAAAAATGCTTACCGCTGGTGTAGATGGGCAAAAAAAAAAAAATAGAAAGAAAGATTATGATGGACCAGGTGGAAGAAATTCCCAGAAACAAAATACAGGTAGAAGAGGAGGAAATGTGGCGTGACTGAAGAAACCGACACATGCCTGTCGTAAGATGAAAAGATTAATTTCAAATTGGGGCGATGTGAAACCAGCTCATTAGCGGGCTGCGATCTTTTAGATCTACTAATAGTCTCTTTAAACTCTCCTTGTAATGGACCTGCATTCATTTTTAAGGATGTCTCACCTTATGGTCATTAAACTCACCACTGGACTCCGCGGGATTTTTTTTTCATTCCCAGCTATATAACTTTCTGCGTTTTTAAAGAATCCCAACTGCCTGATTAGAAGACAGCTTAGTCTCAATAATCACGGTGATTTTAAGCATTGTCCCTTTTCGATTAGCAAAGCCTTGATTGTCGAATGCCCCCAAAAGCGATATAGCTTAGCAATGACACCATTTTTTGAAGTAGCGTCTCAAAAAAACAGAAATGTTAAACCAAATAAATATTCCCAAAGGCGCATCGTTATGTGTGTGGGTAGTCAGCACGGAGTTTTGCCCAATGGATGGGCTCCGTGATTGAGACATCAAACGGAATGAGCTCACACGCGGATCCGTTACGTGTCTCACAAATCATTCGCTACGACAAAAATAACAAGAGGAGTTGCTTAATGCTATGTCGTTACCAGATACGAAATTTCTACTTCTACTACAGCGAATTCTTAGTTTGGCATTCGTAAATTCGCCATTTGGCACCAAGGAACAGCGTTGAAGTTAGAAGAGGAGCTTTACTGGGGAGTGACATAGCTTTGTTTAAAAGACAGAAGAGCCTCGCCGCCATCTTGTGGCACATAATGGTAAGGCAGGGCTAAATCGATCTTTTCGACTGTATTCTTTCTCTTTGGTCTATGGCACGATGCTGCCTCAAACAGATCGGTCTTCGTGCCACACCAGATCCACGATTAGGGATGGGAATTATAATTTAGCCATTCCGATGACATTATCCGTAATGCTTATCGATCTGGTTCCTTACTCATTGGGTGAGCGGATGAAATAGTTCAAAGTGGTACAGGGACCACTATGGGAAGCGCTCTTCAGACTACGCGTCAGTCCTACCTGTGAAGGCATCTATGGAAGCCACGTTGCTCTGCTGTCTCCCCCTCTTGGCTGCCACGGTGATGGTGTATTCAGTCCCGGGCTCTAATTCTCTCAAAGTGGTGGTGGTTTCATCTCTTGGCACTGTCAGCTGGAACACAAAGAAAATGTGAGATAAAATGACAATCACACATTTACCTGCATGTGCATCCCAAAGTATATCCTGAATTAATATTTGAGAAGTGATTGCCGCCGTTCACCTCAGTGGTCAAGCCCGAGGAGGACGTAAAGGTGACTTTGTAAAAGTCAATGGGGCCCTGGACCATTCCCCACACCAGGGTGATGGTGTTGTCTGTAGATGCCGTCACAGTAAGATCCAGAGGCACGTCCAGACCTGGCCCAACGAAGAAGCATAGGCATACTTTTTTAAAAATTATGAGGGAAATGTCAATGTGCAAATATACGAGAAATGTCCCAAATGTTTCTGGCCTGAAGAAGACAAGAGGCAATAAAATCTGATGCAGTCCACTGCCTTTGTGTGAAAATTACAATTTGGATATTAGCACTTCCCCCACACTGATGAGATAAAGTCACCCACCGGTTCTGGCGTTCATAGTAGCCGATGTGCTCTGGTTGCTGCCTCTCATGGCAGAAATGCCGATACCGTATTCCGTGCCAGGCAGCAGATCTGAAACACCATCAATGAAATTAACATCAGCCACAGACATGCCGAAGCAAACACAATGGAAATGTAAAAAGTCAAAAAAATGTTTGCAAAAAGAGAGAAAATAATTCTTCTTAAAAAGCTATTCAAGCATTGATTGCACAAAATAACAAACTTCCCAATTTTCTTGATTCCAATACGCCCCCAGGCCAACAAGCCCCTGGACAAATACAATCAGTTGTGAGCAGCCACGCGGCGGACGCCACCCTGGCATGTAAAATACTTCCCTCGACACAGCAGGTGAGCCGGGATAACGTGGAAAAAAAACAAATACAGCAAAATCGTTGCGCAAAGGACCCAAGGGTTTGTTGATGCCAATTTCTCCCCACTTACCGGTGAGAGTGGTCTTCGTGGTTGCGCCCTCATTTCTTGGTACGATGACTTTTTCATATTGATCTCCTGCCAGTGTGCTGTACACCACCTGGTAGGCTTCCACCTCCACATGCAAATAATTAAGTAGATTACAATTATTGATCACTCTCGGTTTATTTTCATCTTAAAATGGAAGACTACGATCAAGAAAGTAAAACACACACACACACACACACACACACACACACACACACACACACACACACACACACACACACACACACAGAGTGAATATATAGATTATATAGTATGATGGCATGCACAGTGGAACATTTTCAAGGGGGCATCCAGCATACACACCCTCTTATAAGGATTCAGCAGACACCTACAACACAATTCCCTTCAGCTGTTTGGGAGATTTTGTTATGGTTCAGTGAAAGTAAGATTGAACTTTTTGACCTTATTCCCAAAAATTATGTTTGCGGAAAATACAAGATTGCTCTTCACTATTGGTCACATGAATAGTGGAAAAAGTTTCCAAACAATTTAACTTGAGCTTAAATTTTACATGACCAAAAGCCTAGCATTTGAGCTTTTGTTTACAATTTTTTTTAATATCCACAGTAACTATAGTGGTAATGGAGTATTTCTTACAACATGTGTCATTTGTAACTTCAAAGTGTCATATTTCGGGAACATCATAAACAAAGTCCTCCAACGACCGGCGGGCGGAGTGCTCAGGGAGCTTACCTGTGCCTCACTGTTGTCCCATTCCAACTCCAGGGTGGTGGAGGTCTTGGAGAGGAGGCGCAGGTTCTTGGGGGCGTCAATCTCTGAGAAGAACGATAAAGCTGACAATGTTGGGGACACTGAGACCGTTTCTCAGGGGGGGTTTGAACAAGCAGACATGAGCAGCGTAATCACCGTCACAAACGCATGCAGTTAGGCTACAATCATTGCTCGGTGCTTGCGTTAACCACTCGAGCACGGCCTAATATCAGGCGTGCAAACTTTATTGGACTCTGCCAAATGACCTTGAACAGCACGGTACATCAGGCCATATGTCGTCAACAGTTCTATTCCTCGGAGGCAGGCTCGGGATAGCG